AGTAAAAAGGGAAAAGTGGGCAGAACTATGTGAATAGATGAGCAGAGAAAAGTCATTAAAACCTTTTTGGTGACTCCACAAGAGCATGAATGAGGCAGGGAAGAGCAGAGGCATTCCTGACTTCCAGACCACAGACTTTTCCTGGCATAGATCAGATGAAAATAATGGCAAGGCTCTATTCGCTCACTATCCAGAACAGAGTGAGCAGAAAAAAACAGCAAAGAAACATGTCTAGAACAGCCATCTCAGATATGTGTAAGACCCAGGAAGTCAATAATGACTGTCAATGAAATTAAGGCTGCACTACCATGAGCAAACAACAGCGCACCAGGTCTAGATGGCAAACAATACGAAGATGTATAAATGACATTTAAAATAACTTTCAAGCCACAGTTGCAGATGACTTAAGCTATATAGATTAGCAACGAAAATATTAGGATAGCTAACAATAGGAAGCAGTAAGCCTTATCAGTGCTAGAGTAATAGCCAAAAACAGGGCTAGTTAATATCAGTAAAGATAAATCAATATGTTCAGTGTTCTCCCTCTTAAATAATATAAAAAACAAAAACAGCCAACTAAGCTAGTGCTGAACAGGAAAATATTGTGTCAAGAAAACAATCCAAAAATGTAGGTACTGTCTGTCTGTAGCGTTGTTTGTATCTGTAGTATTGTTTGTATCCTTGTCATTGTTTGTATCTGTAGTATTGTTATTTCAACGCCAGAGGACACCAGTGGGGCAATGTAATCACTAATAAACAGGGGGAAGACCTGGAGGATGCCCTAGTGTCTGCCAATCTAGTATGCTTGAACGACGGAAAGGTTACCCGAATGGCAACACGACAAGGGGATTCTGACAGCGTAATTGACCTGGCCCTAGTGTCTCCGTCCATTGCATCAGGATGCAGGTGGAGCACACTGGGATACCACGACAGTGATCACTTTCCTTGTGTCGTCCTGGTAGAGAAGAGCAACAACAAAGGTCATGTAATCAATGTGCCTGCTTTTATATATGACCGTACAGGGCAAGATGCCATTAGCAAAATCCGACGACGTAAAACAAGAGCAGATCGCAGACGGCGGGAGAGATGGGCCCAGCCACCATGGTGGAATGAAGTAGTCAACATGGCGTGGCTAGAAAAAAGGAAAGCTGTCAAGGCATGGCAAAAGGCAAGGAAAATTGATCCGTCACTTTCTGAACGCCTGATCAGTCTGAAAGATGAGGTCAACAAGCAGACAGTGGCTTTCAAGTTAATTGCGAAGGAAGCTAAGACAGCGAAATGGAACGAATTCTGCAAGAGCGTTTGCTCCGAGGGATCTCTTGTGACATTCTGGCGCCTTCAACGGAGCATGCACGGTGCCGCACGACCAAGGGGTATCCCTGATTTTCAAGGTACAGACCTGATATGGCAGAGAACTGATGCTGATAAAGGAAAAACCCTTCTGGCGCGCTACTTGGAGCAAACTGACCAAAAAGACGAAGCTACAAGAATGGGGGTTAAGATGAAACTGTCGATGCTGTGCGAGAACACTGTGCTAGGCACTGATCTCACAATCACTGCAGATACCTTAAGAACTTGCCTCAAGAAATCGCGCAGCACTGCTCCAGGCCCTGACGGCATCCGATACAACGACATGCTGATGATGTCGAATGCTGATTTGAAAAGCGTGGCAAAGGAATTCAATATCAGCATCCAGAGTGGCCAGATACAAGAGGAATGGCTCCATAGTTATTTGTTCCCACTACCAAAGCCTAATAAAGACCACTCGAAGATCTGCGGCTACAGAATCATCTCGATGCAGAATACTGTTGGCAAACTTTTGGAAAAAATTGTCGCACAAAGATTGACCACCTACTTGGAACTACATGATAAGTTCCCACCAACACTTGGAGGGTACAGGTTAAATAAAGAGACATGGTTCAATGCTGCAGTTTTCGCCTACGATGTGTACGAGGGATTTCAGATTCAAGAAGAGACATGTGCGGCAGTGTTGGACTTAGAAGATGCCTACAATAAAGTACCATACGATTATTTAATGCAATTACTGCTTAAACTAGAAGTTAATCCTATTCTGATCCGCTGGATTGCTGCGGTCCTGTTCCAGAGAAAGATTGTACTAAGATGTGGTAGCTGGTCCTCAGAACCGCAAACGATATGTCCAGGCTTGCCACAGGGATCACCGCTATCACCAGTCTTATTCAACGTTTATACGGTGATGATCACTGAGCAGCAGTTGAATGGAAGGGGAGGACTTTGTCATTTGCTGATGACATTTTTGATTTATCGACGAGGGCGTGATAGACAGGAGATCGCCAGCACTATGCACAAAGAACTCGATCGAATTGCCGCCTGGTGTGATGGTTCCAATGCCTATGTCAATCCTTCGAAGGCATCAGTGTCATGGTTCTCTTTGAACAATCACATTGTCAAGTCGGACTTACCAGAAGTGAAAATGCGTGATAATGTATTGATCAGAACCAACGTTATGACGTTTCTCGGGGTGAGGTTCGATCGCAGCTTGTCATTCAGGGAACACGTTGACCATGTGATAACAAAAGCACGCAAAGGTCTATCTGCAATGAGGATTATGGCTGCTTCCAACATTGAGCAAAGACTACTAATACTTCTATTCTACGGTCTGGTCCTTTCCCCCATTGAATACGCTCTGGCCATCCTCACTGTCAGTGCTACCCAGATTGAACGACTCGAAAAGGTGCAAAATGAAGCCATGCGCATTATTTTGGGATGTACTAGAGACACATCCTGTGGAGCAATGAGGTATCTACTTGACTTTCCAACAATGAACCAAAGGATCAGGATGTGGAGGGCTCGGGCATATCTCAAAATATGTGCTGATAAGAAACACCCACTGCATCAAGCGCTTTTTAGTGAAAAGGGCGACAGACTGAAGAGGGGGAAATCGTGGCTAGGTCGGGCAGAAGATGTTATTAGGCAAATATGCAGCCTAACCGACATCATACCTGGTGCAGAATGGATACCTGTGCCTCAGGCGTTTATTTGTACATTTTCCTGTATTGTCACACTCAACAGGCGATGTAGAGAAGAGAATCCCGTTGCTGTTAATGCAGAGGTCAACGCTCTCATCGGTGAAAATTCAGACGAAGCAGATGCAATAATCTATACAGACGGATCCGTTACACGCCAAAGAAGAAGCGCATGGGCATTTACAGCACGCTCAGCGGGCAGAACAGTCAAAGAAGCCAACGGCGCCTTCTCCATGACAACCAGCAGCATGACGATGGAGGTGATGGCAGTGACACAAGCGCTTGCCTGGCTTGAAACACAGAAATACACCCGCGTGTGTATACTCAGTGATTCAATGAGTATGATCCGGAGGGTTCAGGCAGGTTCAGTGCGAAGACAATGGCTTGAATCATTACAGAAGTCCACTGTCCGTGGAGTCACCTTTATTTTTGTTCCGGGACACGCAGGCGTCGATGGAAATGAAAGAGCTGACAGGTTGGCTGGATCCGCTATCACTACCGACGGTCAGCCTATGGATCATGCTGATATTATCAATGCCCTCAGAGAAATGGGAAGGATAGACGACTTTGGTGGCAGTGAATCCACATCACTCGCCAGAATGGCAGACTTGGGAATTAAGATCGGCACAGCAAAAAACGAGACGCACACCAGCTACGCCAGAAGACTTGTTAATCAACATAGAACTGGTACTATTAGCCATCGGACGTTGGGGTTCATACTGAGGGGAGGATCTGAGCACCTATGGACATGTCCGGAGTGCAATGAGGATAACCCAACTAACTAACTAACTAACTAACTAACTGTAGTATTGTTTGTATCCTTGTCATTGTTTGTATCCTTGTTATTGTTTGTATCTGTAGTATTGCTTGTATCTGTATTATTGTTTGTATCCTTGTTATTGGATGTATCTGTACTATTGTTTGTATCTGTGATATTGTTTGTATCTCTTGTATTGTTTGTATCTGTATTATTATTTAATTTTAGTACTGTTTGTATCTGTAGTATTGTTTGTTTGTTTTTTAGTCTGAAGTATTGTTTATATATGTTCTATTGTTTCTATCTGTAGTATTATGTATTTCTGAAGTACTGTTTATCTGTTGTTTCCTTTGACAGTAGTTTTGTTTTGTCTGTTGTATTATTTAGCTGCAGTATTGTTTGTCTGTTGTATTGTTTTTTGTTATAATATATGCAGTTTTCATAAACTAAATTAGAGGATGACAAGTATCTGTTGGGGAACATGTGCAGTTTTTAGAAACTATTTTAGAGCATGACAAATATCTTTTGGAGTACATGTGCAGTTTTTAGAAACTATTTTAAAGGATGTTAACCATTTGAAATAAAAATAAATCTCATTATTTTTGTTTTCACTTTCCTGGCAGGAACAAAAGTCTGTCTTCAAAGGTAATGTTACCAGGGAACAGACAAGTGGTTGCAGAGAAAGTAAGGTTCCAGGAATAGACTGGAGCCGTCAGCTGGAAACAGAAAGACTGGCAGCACAGCCACATCTTCTCTACACACAGCAGTGGCAACAAAATCAGATATTGGTAGGTTTCTATGACAACAGAATCTGATGTTGGTGGGTTTCCATGACAATGGCAGTCAGTTAGTCATAAAACTATGAATGGTGTTTTGTCATATACAGCAGCAGTTATCATCGTCAGCGTCATCATTAAGTAGCAGCTCCTTTACAAAACATTGCTCCCATCACAGCCTACATAAAAGAAACACTGTCCATCACCAGCTCTTCCACCTCATGCATTTTACCGCCCCATGTGTCTTTGATTTCCTGTGCCCATATTCCTTTTGGTTGGTCACTATGTAGCTTATCCAGTACAATTCCCTCCCCTAAGTTATTTCAAAGCAACAGCAGTCATTGAGTCGTAAAACTATGAAATGTATGTTTTCCTATAAAACAGATTAAGTGTGGCATAAAACTATGAAATGTATGTTTTCCTATAAAACAGATTAAGTGTGGCATAAAACTATGAAATGTATGTTTTCCCGTACAACAGGGTCAGTGAGTTATAAAACTGTGAATTGCATGTTTTCGCATACAACAGGGTCAGTGAGTTATAAAACTGTGAATTGCATGCTTTCCCATACAACAAAGTCAGTGAGTCATAAAAGTGTGAATCGTATGTTTTCATGTAAATAAAAAAGTGTCTCCTATCTTCAGCATGCACTAACAGATGATGGCAGAAGTGAAATTAAAAACTAAAAGTTCAGCATCATGCAAAAGCTGCTGATATCTTCAACATCACGCAAAAGCTGCTGATATCTTCAACATCATGCAAAAGCTGCTGATATCTTCAACATCACGCAAAAGCTGCTGATATCTTCAACATCACGCAAAAGCTGCTGATATCTTCAACATCATGCAAAAGCTGCTGATATCTTCAACATCACACAAAAACTGCTGATATCTTCAACACCATGCAAAAACTGCTGATATCTTCAACATCACACAAAAGCTGCTGAAATCTTCAAAATCATGCAAAAGCTGCTGAAATCTTCAACATCATGCAAAAGCTACTGATATCTTCAACATCATGCAAAAGCTGCTGATATCTTCAACATCACACAAAAGCTGCTGATATCTTCAACATCATGCAAAAGCTGGTGATATCTTCAACATCACGCAAAAGCTGCTGATATCTTCAACATCACACAAAAGCTGCTGATATCTTCAACATCACGCAAAAGCTGCTAATATCTTAAACATCATAAAAAATGTTCATGTTTATGTTTATTCGAAGGATCAGCATCATAGCACATGGATGTAACCCAAAAGTGCTCCATTCTACTTCTAACTCAAGCCTGAGTCTGAAGTATCTCAGCACAGTGCACGAACTCAGTTGCACCCACGAGGATCCTGACCTGAAATACTTTGGGTAGATTTTTTTTAAACTACAAATTTTGCCTTGGCAGTGCCATTAACTATTTGAGTCCCAGGGGGTTTAGCATCACAGGCCCAGGGGGTAGTAAAGAAAGTAATAAAATCCCCGCATCATGCGTTCATTGGGTGTCTAGGTAGGAACCTATGAACGTATGATGCGTTCCTTGGGACTCAAAGAGTTAAGCTACTAGGCTACTCTTTACGATTTCAAACTGCTAATGGATTTTTTTACATGCACAACAATACACACTGGTGTATGATATGACTACCCAGAGACCAGAGGAATTTACTAGAAGTCTATGTAAAAAAATCATAGCCTTCACCGGGGCCTGAACCCAGGATCTGCAACACTCGAGGCGGACACCATGCCTCGAGACCACTCATATTGATATCTTTAACGTCAAGCAAAAACTACAATTATCTCAAATGTCATGTAAAAACTGCTGATATTTTCAATGCCATGTAAAAATTACTGATATCTTCAATGTCATGTAAAAACTACTGATATCTTTAATGTCATGAAAACTACTAATATCTTCAAGATTAGGCAAAAACTACTGATATCTTTAACATCAAGCAAAAACTACTGATATCTTCATCAAGCCAAAACCACTGATATCCCATTAACAAGGAAAAGTGTCCAGTGTTATGTGTCTTTAGGTGAGAGAACCCAGACAATGAACATGCTACTAGAAAATTGAACTAGGTCTCTGGAAATGTGGATGTTTAGATGAATTTTTCCATAGAAGTAAAAATAATTAAATACATAGCATTTAGAGTTCTGAGATGACAAGAGAGTTAAAAAAAAAAAAAAGACAAGGCAAATATTTCAGCCACCTTAACAAAATATAGCTCTTTTGAAACTCAGTCTCATGGGGAAGTAAAAGGCAAGAGAGAGGAGAGGTAGACAGCATCAAAATATGTAAAGTACATCAGCTGATAGACTGTAGAGCAAGTACAAGAGACAGAGAGTATCGCAGATCCACTGCATTCAACAGTATTTGTGGAAATAGCACTTGATTGATTTATATTTCCCTAACCAAAAGCACTCAGTGGGTCATACAATTATGAATGTTATTCAAGCCATATAGAGCAAACAATAATCTTATACCTAGTTTATACAGACAATATAATCTTGTACTTAGTTCATACAGACAATATAATCTTGTACTTACATCATACAGAAAAAATAATCTTATACATAGTTCATACAAACAATATAATCTTTCACTTAGTTCATACAGACAATATAATCTTTCACTTAGTTCATACAGACAATATAATCTCTTACTTATTTCATACAGACAATATAATCTTGTACTTGGTTCATACAAACAATATAATCTTTCACTTAGTTCATAAAGACAATATAATCTTTTACTTGATTCATACAGACAATAAAATCTTTTACTTGATTCATACAGACAATATAATCTTTTACTTGGTTCTTACAGACAATATAATCTTTTACTTGGTTCATACAGACAATATAATCTTTTACTTGGTTCATACAGACAATATAATCTTTTACTTGGTTCATACAGACAATATAATCTTTTACTTGGTTTATACAGACAATATAATCTTTTACTTGGTTCTTACAGACAATATAATCTCTTACTTAGTTCATACAGACAATATAATCTTTTACTTAGTTTATATAGACAATATAATCTTTTACTTGGTTCATACAGACAATATAATCTTTTACTTGATTGATACAGACAATATAATCTTTTACTTGGTTCATACAGGCAATATAATCTTTTACTTGGTTCATGCAGACAATATAATCGTTTACTTGGTTCATACAGACAATATAATCTTTCACTTAGTTCATACAGACAATATAATCTTTTACTTGGTTCATACAGACAATATATTCGTTTACTTGGTTCATACAGACAATTTAATCTTTCACTTAGTTCATACAGACAATATCATCTTTTACTTGGTTCATACAGACAATGTATTTTTTTACTTGGTTCATACAGACAATATAATCTTTTACTTGGTTCATACAGACAATATAATCTCTTACTTGGTTCATACAGACAATATAATCTTTCACTTAGTTCATACAGACAATATAATCTTTTACTTGGTTCATACAGACAATATAATCTTTTACTTGATTCTTACAGACAATATAATCTTTTACTTGGTTCTTACAGACAATATAATCTTTTACTTGGTTCATACAGACAATATAATCTTTTACTTGATTCATACAGACAATATAATCTTTAACTTGGTTCTTACAGACAATATAATCTTTTACTTGGTTCAAACAGACGATGTATTCTTGTACATTGTTTATACAGACAATATAATCTTTTACTAAGTTCATACAGTTTTACATAATATTGGCTTGGATTGCACCTTGATTTCTAAAAACAATAAAAAAACAAAACAAAAACAACAACAAAACTTTTAATTACTTGTTCTTTTATAACAGAAAAGAAAGCTAGGACCTGGTTTGTATGAAATCAAAGACTTCATTCAATTGGCTAATGAAAAACCTAGAAGTGAAAGAAGATTGTGTGGAAATCAGGCTCCTAGATTTGTGAAAAATACAAAGGTATGTCTGCTAATTGTTAATGTTATAATGAGAACCATGTCAGCAATGCTGGACTCATATACTACGTTTTACCACTGCAAAGAGAGGCTCCTGATATTCTGCAAATTTGCATATTTTGTCTCTGACATATCTGTTAGTTCTATTTTCTAGATAACTAATTCAGAAAATGCATCTGTATCATTTACATTCAAAAGCATTAATCCTCCTTTTCATTTGCACAGTGAAAGTAACTCTCACATCTGTAAACGAAAAATAGACAGTACCAGTGATTTGTATACATTGACCTTAACTGCAGTTCTGATTTTGCTCTTCCATATAATATTCAGCTGGGACATCTTGGCTGTTGCCATATCAAGCCTTGCCTTGATCTCTGTGGTACAAGTGCCATCATTACATATATGGGAGCCGAGATATTTAAACGTTTCATCTTCTTCTAGCTTTTTTCCCTTTTATCTGTATGTTAGTAGGTACTTGATTATTGTAGCTGTTAACCAAAATTTTGCTTTTCTCTGCATTAATTACAAGACAATTACCATACTTTGGCCAGACCAGAGCAAGTGATTATTCTACAACTTAAAACAGGACACAATCGACCTTGCAGCCAAATGTACATAAAATTTAAGATTAGTGAATCAGCAATGTGCACTTGTGGATTGGCACCTGAGATTACAGATCACTTCCTCCAAGACTGTCCCAAATACATGTCAAGGCAAAACTTCTGGCCAAGAGAAACACTGGTGCAAGCTGAACCTCACTGGTCGCTTAGTGAATTACAAAAGACTAGAGACAATATTGCAGATACAGATCTTTTTCAAGCGAAGAAAAGAAGAAGGAAACAAGAAGAAGATGAAGAAGAATTTTATTTTAGACTGTTCTGTTATCATCTCCATAACTGTAGATTATTGCATAATCATTTCTATAGCTGTAGACTGTTCTATAAGTATAAACTATTCTACTAAGATTTCAATTTCGGTTGACATCCATTTCTTTTTTGCAACTCTATGGGTTGGTGGGATTGTCTCTTTTGATGTTTGCTGAATTGACTCACGCAACATATCCCACTGTTCATCAATAGTCTGTATAATTTCCATTGCATTATACCGGTTTTGTACAGTGACATTGTACTGTTCCTTAATTTCTTTATCCGTTCTAAGAATTCCTAAATTTAACTTGATGTTCTGTGGTGTTTTTCTAATGTTCTTTAGATTTATTTTAATTTTTCCTACAACTGGAACATGGTCACTAAAGCATTCTGCCCCTGGTCTAGTTTTTGCTCCAACTAAGCTGCTCCGGAATCTTCTTGAAATCAAAATGTAATCAATCTGATTGCGGACATTATCACCAGGACTTTTCCAAGTCCACAATCTTCGAGGATGGCGTTTAAACCATTTGTTACCTATTATCATGTTGCACGACTCAGCCCATACTATTAATCTGTCACCTCTCACATTCTTTTCTCCTAGGCCATAGCCACCCGTTATTCCGTACACTTTTTCACTTCCTACTTTCGCGCTGAAATCTCCAAGTACCATTGTTACTTCACAATTTTTGCATTGATTAACAGCCATGTCTAACTCGTCATAAAATGCTCAATATCATCCTCTGAACTATCTGCTGTTGGGGCATAAATCTGTACTAAGTTGATGCCAAACGGTTTGCCGCGAAGTTTTACTAATAGTACTCTATCTGATATTGTCCAAAATCCTTTAACAGTTTTTGAGTTCTTTGGATCCAAAATAATACCAACTCCCTTACTATATTCCTTCCCACCCGAGTAGATAATTCTGTGCTGATCTTAATACTTTTCCCCTGCTCCTGGCCATCACATTTCACTAATTCCTAATATGTTGATGTTCATTCTCTTCATTTCCATCTTGATGTTATCCAGCTTTCCGTTTTGTACGAGTGTTCTGACATTCAATGGACCAATGTTCATGATGTTTCTACCATTTACTTTTTCTACTAATATTGTAAATTATGGCATGTAAATAACTGCATAGAAAGGCAAGATACTGATAAATAGCCGCAACAAACAACAGCCTACCAATATAGAGATCAAAGGGAAGGGGGGGCTAGAAGAAGTTGAAACCCTTAAATACCCCAGGTCCCACATATGTATTGATGTCAATTATATGAAAGAGATCAAAACAAGACTTGATATGGCAGCAGCTGCGATGTCACAGCTGAATACAATTTGGAAGAACGAACGAACGAACAAACAAACTTTATTTTTAAAGGTCACAAATTGGGCACACAGGCCTCTCATACATTCGGCCCTTCCAATAGTTGTGTGCTAACTTGGGTTAACAGCAACCAGCAAGTCGGCCTAGTGTCTAAGGGTACAGTTCACGCTCTCAAGCACAACTCACAAGAAAACTTAAAGACGTAATGTCCACGATGTAAGCACATTGATTGTTACGATCACAGAGGGTATTCACAATTCCTCACACACTCAGCAATGCCAGTGAAGTGATGCAGACTTCTGTCCTGTCTAACATGCAACAAATAGCCTGCCTTTCGCTCACTCCTCAGGTATAACATTGCTCTCCCAGACAGCTTGTACTCGCCATCACTTTATAGACGAGCTGACCGCTACAGTTCTAGGTCTACGGCATCCCGCAACTCTGGGCTCGCTGCACAGATGAACAGGATATCTCCCCTAATCAACTGGACCTCTACTGCTCTATATGGAGCAGACCATCGGCTGACTGGAAACGCCACAATACTTGTTCTCCAGCATGTGCACACAGCACATCAGCCTTGTCGAAGGAACTCTGATGACTGGCAGGACTCCTGGCTCTGAGTCCCCTTCAGCACACAGCTATCGCTGGCATCTCTGCTGTCTTGTTTCACTAGTGATCCTCCCGCTTACATGCGTAGTCACCCAAAACAGTGTCTCTTGAGTAGTCCAGCTCACTTGGCCTGACTTGCCAACTGGACTTCTCTTCCTTCGGCTGCACTCTCGACCAGTATCTTGCGAGTGCTATCCCTCGAATGTTGTCGACTCAATGTTTTGAGTTCTCAACTGCCACTGCTCAACAGTCCACTCAATTTCAGTATATACCCTTGCCTGCCCCTTGTGAGCTGATCGTGCACACGAGACACACGTTGTCACCCCAAACTTCTTCCATGCGACAGCGGCTATCTCGCCCAAGTCATGATACTTAGCCCACACCAGCTAATACTTCGTGAATCCACTAGTCCATCCCTGGCCAGGTCAATTCCAACTTGCCACAAAATTGACTCAACCAACAGATATTTCCTGGCTCAAGTCAACACTGTGCCAAATATTGACACAGGTCATTGGACATTCCTGTGGACTTCCGAAAACACTATTCATACCACATTGTCCCTCTACAATGTTACAGCTCACACAGATCAGTACGCAATACCATCTCCTCCCCCATCCCCAACTGACAACTAACTGAATTAAGTGAGGTTGTCAGTTGTGAAGATAGAAGTTCTGTTGCGAGCTGATTCTATAAATATAATACATTTCTAGGATATGTGATATTTATATCAATATTATTCTCACATATATAACTAGCATTCATTATTCAATAAATTTCATAAACATTGAAACATCGATATAATTACATGACCTCTAAGGTGACACTTCTCTTGTATTCAACCTTGAGAGGAAATCAGCTAGCTGATTCTTTCTTTCATTGATAAACAGCACATCATATGAAAACTTCTGTAAAACTAAAGACCACCACAGGATCCTAGCATTCCTGAATTAAAGATTTACAATGGTTGATGGTCCGTCCAAATGGTGAAACGACACCTGTATAAGTAATGGGCAAACTTGGAGACAGCCTAGTAAATGGCCAATGCTTCCCGTTCCCCGACGCTGTATCTGGTCTCTGCCGGTGTCAGTTTCCGGCTGGCATATAGGACTGGATGCAAAAATCCACTGTGGTCATTTAAGAACACAGCTCCCAGGGTGACATCAGAGGCGTTACATGCAACATGGAAAGGTAAAGATAGATCAGGCAAACGTAACAATGGCATACAAGTGAATGGTTTTTGTAAGTCTTGTAATGCTATTGCACATTGTTCTGTCCATTTTATCTTGATTGGCATATTTTCCTAGTTAACGAAGACAGTGGAGCTGTGATGATTGAGTAGTGTGGGATGAATTTCAAATAAAAATTTCCTAAACCCAATAAGGCTCTTACTTCTTTCTTCATTCTCGAAACAGAGCATTTCATGACTTTCTTCATGAAACCAATTTCTTTTTAACCAACGCTGGATGGCTGTTCGACAACTCGCATTTGTGCACTGCCACTGTGGTCTTGCCTGAACTGCCTGTCACAATACTGTCAAATGTGGCCAGTATTCTACAGTTTTGACTGCGATTTTCTACTGGACTGGCAGTGGATATTTGTTCATCCTTCCAGTACTTTCCAGGTAGCAGATGTGGCAGATGCATTTAGAGTTTGCCATTTTTATCCACTTTCTCAACTGTCTCCTTAACTGCCTGACAACAAGACGCTGCTTCCGTCTCTTTATGCTCTGGTCTGTCTACCTTCAGGACGTAGTCTGCCTTTCGTAAGGTAGGATCTGCTTTCTGCTTGTCACTGAAATTAGACTGATTTTTTGCTCGTTTTTCTGGACTGGTTATCCCAGCCTGAATGACCACTTTCCTTTGGACAGAATTGTTGCCTTTATGTAGTCTGGCCTCTTGGCTCTCACGCACTAGCTGTGCTCTTGTAGCAACAACATTGGCTGTGTTAAGATGCTTCTCGTACCACTCTTCAGTCTCCTTCCCACTAGGTATGGTGGTTCCTTTGACTGATCCCACCAACACATCAGCTGCTGGATGTTTCAATACACATACCTCTATCAAACCCTGAAAATGACAACAGTTTATATAGACTTTTGCAACAGCATATTTCTGCCACCAAAAGTACAACATCTTATACTTTTGCCCAAGTACGCCAACTTTGGTACTAGGTACTTTGCAACTCCAGTCACGTTTGTGCCTGTGTCTCTAG